AAACCAGAAACGCCAGCCGCTACCGGCAGTTCTTTGCCTGGCAGAAGAGGTTCAGCGTGAAGCTCTACACCGACTGGAGGGAGCGGATCTGCACCATCTGCACCGCCTACCCCCGCCTGCCCCGTGGCCGCATCTATCCTGACCTGGAGAGCTGGTTCAACCACTAGCACGGGGCTGGTGTGCACGGGGACCATCGCGGATGCATCCGGGCAGAGGATACCGGCGTGGGGACAGTGTGGGACACCCTCTTACAAACCAGGACGTGGGGCAGGGAGGGACGCAGGAGCCCCGACCTCTCCTCCCAGCCCAGCTGTTGCCACACTGGGACCTTGAGCAACTCCGTGTGACTTAATTTCTTGCAAAACGAGACTAACCCCGCCCCCCCCACCCCAGACCCAACACTGACCTACCTCACCAGGGTGCTGGCAGAACGAGAGGGTGCTTTGGAAATAAATGACCCAGTGGTGCAGAGGCTCTGCCTGTGGCGCAGGGGCTGGCCAGGGTTTGACACTCAGGGGGCCTCCGGGCTCCCCAACCTTCCCATGCAATCACTCCATGTCCCCCCAGCATTGTCTGCTGCATGTGAAGCCCCAGTGGCAGAGGCCCCATGGTTACGTTTCTGGCAGGGGTGCAACAGCCGAGCTCAGGGCAGCCCAGGGGGACCCAGCACCCCGTGTCAGGGACGAAGAGCACAGCCTATGCTCCGACACTTCCTGGCAGCACCCATTTCCCCCCTCCACTCCCCCTCTCGTGCTGTGGTTGTCACTATGCTGGTACAGACCAGCAGGACAGCGGATGCTCTCGAGGGCAATCTCAGCCTGGAGTCAGAGAGGGATGCTGTGGTTTCTTGCTCCCCCGCCGGCACGCCTGCCCTGCTGCAGCAGGAAGCCAGAGAGGAGCCTCGCAGCCAGCCCACAGAAAAGCCGGCCCTTGGAGGCACCCTATGGCGCTGGCATCCTGCTCAGTCTGCCCTCGGCACTGCCAAGCCCCCGTGCACCATGCGCGCACCCCAGGCACCCATGCTACCAGCACCCTGCAGTGCTGGACCCGAAACACGCACATGCTGCACCGTGGGCACCCTGCACCATGCGCACATCCTGCACCATGCACACACCCTGCACCGTGGGCACCCTGTGCCGTGCACACACCCTGCACCATGGGCACCCTGCACCAAGTACACACCCTGCACCATGCACACTCCCTGCACCATGGGCACCATGCACACACCCTGCACCATGGGCATCGTGCACCACACACGCTCCCTGCAACACGGGCATCCTGCACTACGGGCACCCTGCACCACGCACACACCCTGCACCACGCACACACCCTGCACCATGGGCACCCTGCACCAAGCACACACCCTGCACCATGCACACACCCTGCACCACGCACACACCATGCACTGATGGCACCCTGCATGGAAACACCTCTTTACCATGAGCACCCTGCACCCTGGGCACCCTGTATCCCACACTCCCTGCACCGAGGGCACCCTTGCAGCGCATGCACCCTGCACTGTGGGCAGGGGCAATACCCAGGCACCCCGAGGGGAAGCACCCATCTGAGATCAGAGGCAGATGTCAGGGTTGGGCGACAGGACCAGGGAGTGGGACATGACTGCTCCATCCGTGCCTTCCTCCGTGCTCCTTGGCTCAGTGCCATCAACCCCTGATACAAACGACTCATTTTCATAGAATCACAGGCTGGTTTGGGCTGGGACCTTAAAGCCCATCAAGTCCCACCCCCTGCCATGGGCAGGGACACCTCCCACTAGCCCAGGTTGCCCAAAGCCTCATCCAGCCTGGCCTTGAACCCCTCCAGGGATGGGGCATCCACAGCTTCTCTGGGCAACCTGGGCAACTGCCTCACCCCCCTGCACAGGAAAACATTTTTTCTTCACACCTCATCTCAATCTCCCCTCTTTCAGCTTTTTTCACAGGTTTCCCCTGGTTTCCCTCACTGCAGCCCCGAAGTTGCCCACCCCCACCCCTGCCATCCTGTGAGCTGCTGGGTGCCCCCCAGGACCCGCTCCCCATGCCCAGGGTGAAGCGGGACGCAGGCACGCAGTAACAGACCTCAGCAGAGGGGATATTCATGCACCAGGCTGGCACTTCACTGTGTCCCAACCCCGGCAGACCTCAGCCAGCCCAGCCCTGGTGGGGCTGCAGTTTGACGGGCACACCACACCATGCTCTTCTGATTTCTGTGGCTTCCACTTTCCGTCTCGTTTTGTCTTCTGGATCAACTGAAAGTGGAGCAGGAGGGGCTGCGAGTGCCCGCGGGCAGGGCAGTGGGATTTGGGGGTCCCACGGGGAGCTGGGGCACCTGCCCAGCTGGCCTTTTGCTGGAGTGGAAAATCAGATGGTGGAAATGTGCAGAGAAGCAAACTTCAGGGATGTAACATTTTTCTCAGGCTTTCTGCTACTGACCCCGCCACCCTTCAGCACCCCCAAAGGGCCAGGCAGCAAAGGGCAGCAGTGGGGGGCAGTTTCCAGCGAGTGCCATGCCCCCACCCCGTGGGCAGGCAGGGACACGGCCCTGGGCACCAGGCACTGGGGAGGAAGCGGGAACAAGGGTGCGCCAAGGGGGTCCTGCCCCATGGTGCTGGCACCCAGCCAGGTACGCACCCCAGCCCTTTGCGGGGTCCCACGGTGCCCCACAGCAGCTGTCTGCAGCCACCCCGCTCCTGACCCGCACCAGGAGCAAACCCACCATTTCCTGGCAGCCAAGCTGGAAAAGGGGCTTTTCAGAAGTTTCCCTGCAGGCTGGGTCACTTCATAGTTTCGGCTCAGGGGAAAAATCCCTCGGGGGTGCAGGCTGGTGGCAAACCAGGCTGCAGAGGCCATGGCAGTGAAAAGTGAGGTGCCACCCCCTGATGCTTGCTTCTGTCTGGGCTGGTACCCCCAGTCCCTACCAGCTCACCCCTGGTGCCTGGCCAGACCTGCCTGGGCTGGCACCCCCCACACAGCCACCGCAAGGCTGCTCCGGCTGGACCACGCACACGGAAGCATCCCTCGCCCACCAGTGCCACACTGGCAGCCCCCTGGCGAGGACAGCCCAGGCATCCTGCACCTCTCCCCTGCCCCCCCAGGGCTGGGGACTCAGCTCCCTGGTCCCTCCCTGGCCATGGCATCCACAGGAGCAGCCTGCGAGATTCTGCTGCACTTCCACCTTTCCCAAAAGTGGAAAAACCAGCTCTGATCAGGTGGAAGGTAACCCCCGCCCCCAGTCCTGACCACCCTGCTTTGGTGGGGGGCACAGCCCCAATACGCTGGTGTCCCCCCAGGGCCAAGCTGGCACCGTTCCTGGCAGAGGGCTCGGTGCAGTCAGCGAGAGCCAGGGGCTGCTGGCACCATGGGGACAGGTCAGCCCTATGAGGGTGGCACCAGTCCAGCCCCACTGCGCCCCACTGCACCCCCACCTGTGGCCAAACCCATGAGGCTAGGCTGCCCGGCACTGTGCAGGAGCCAGGAATGCAAGGGAAACAAGGAAAGGGTTAACTCACTCTCATGCCCCAAAGAACTGAGATTTATTTAATTGCCAGAGGGAATTTGATTAAGAAAAAAAAATATATAAAAAAAAAATCAACTACAGCAGGCTCAAAGGCACAGGGGGTGCCAGCAGCATGGGACCCCCTGGGAAAGATGGTCCCTGGGCAGCTGGGCTGGGGCAGAGGGGCAACAGCTGGAGAGCTGGGCCCAAGGGCTGGGCAGGACCCCCACCAC